AATGAAATGTATAAATATATATATGCTCTTTTAATTTTTGACCAACAATGGTAATCTAATAAATAGATATAAAAAACTTGCTTATAAACCTTAGTACAGTGAATACAAAAAAAATTCTGTATATAAAAAAATCAAAATAACTATTTACAGTATAAATCAAAATATGCAAAAAGGCACAGCCTAGTGAACATTAAATAGTTCTGACACTAAAAAGGTTGAAGGTTCATCTTGCCTGTTGACACTGCTTGCTCAATATTAGAGTCCTAGGACCACAGGGAGAGGCTATGAACAACTTTTGAGAAAACCTGCTTGTTGAAGGCCTTCTCAAAGAGAAGTTTCATTTTCAGAGACTTCAGTTTATTGCCATATACATATATATTTTAATATTACACATTGTCACACACCTTAGTAACTATACACAGATTGCCTCCAGCTTCTGAACCATTACAATGGTAACCCACATGGGCTACCTTCACAAGCTATATCTCAATAGCTTGAGTGACATAACGTGCTATCTATGAGTCATTGGACGCAACACATTTTCTAAGCATCACAAAATGAATAATCACCAGCAGAATTTAGCCAAACTAAGACTTTTCAGGTAAAATTCTTGCAGCCAGGACTAATATTTGTATTGTTACTATATTAAATACAATAATCCACACTAAAATGAATTCACTGTTGTAGATGGCCACCACCACCAGTGGTCATTCCACTCACTTCAGATTGCATCACATAAAGAGAAAAATAGGCAAATCTAGTGAAACAAAAACTATTCCATTAAGATTTATAACAACATGATTTACATTTTTACTGAGAAAAAACACAACTTCCTCGCTGCTCTTGGAGGAATCATACACATTTAAGTGCACTGGGAAAAGTCTAATGAGTATCACATAGATCTTCCTCTAATCAGATAGATTGGGTGACAATTTTACAGTAGAAAAATCACTTGTAGGAGTCTAAGACAATTGCTGGTATAGGACAACTGCTGATGGGCAGATGCCAATCAAAAGATCTGAGTAATCCAGATCTTTTGACCTGGAATACTCAGATCCAGAAATATATAATACATGTAATGTAATATATATATATATAATAACAGATAAATAAATTGTTCACCACCAATTGTCTTACTGGCAATTGTCCACCGGCAGTTTCCCACTGGAAGTTGTCCTGCTCCCATCCTGCAGATATCTATTATTGAAACTCTGCTCAATAGCATGGAAAATAAGCACTGCAATGATCTTTCATTCCAGTCAATGTTGCAATCAACAAATTGGCATAACTTATTGATAATCAAGTGTCAATGATACCATCTAGTGCATACATTGTGTTGTAAGTATCACTGGATATCTAAGAAAGCAAGGAACATCACTTCCTTTCAGGCACTGATCTTAAAATTAGGGACTGTCTTAACTGCAAAGTAAGTAAGTGGTAACCACACAAGATCATTGTTGGTATCTTGATCAGTCATTGTAGTTGTGATGGACTCTCAGTCAGCACTAGGTGGGGACCTCTATACTAGAACAAATGTTAATTACTCACCCTTGGGTTGCAGGATGGCAAGTTATTGGAGACAACTTGCCCATCAGTTCTCCATGACTACAGTATTTTCTATGACCTATGGTCACCTTGGCAGTGTATTATTATCCTACAGATCACTACCTGTGTCAATTTATACATGCTGGTGAAAGTGCTCAAATTGGTGAATGACAGAGCCAATGTTGATCTAGTCTGGTTGGTGAATGCCTGAGAGTCCTTTAGAGACTACCTCATTCAATTTCAGATTCACCAGACCAATACCATCTCAACAATACTCTGTGATCCATTCTTCTGTGCACTGAGGTTAAACCTAAGGAGGAGAACCTAACTGGCTACTCTGGTGCACCAGTTTTGAGCAGTTCTACTCTCTGGGTGTAGAGCAGCAATGATAAAGAAGTCATGGACTTTCCTTTACAGCATCAGAGAAAGTCTGATGTCCAGGATAGAACTTCTCCT